TAATCCCAGCAAAGGATTTAGTCCCAGGCAAAAGTAGGCGAATCTCTGAGTTCGAGGCCAGCCTGGCCTACAAAGAGAGTTCCACAACAGCCAGGGTTACACAGAGAACCGTGAATTGAAAGAAAACAAAACAAAACAAAACAAAACAAAAACAAACAAACAAACAAAGATGGAGAAGAAATCTAAAGACAGAGCTCAGTGGTAGAGCACGTGCCTGGCGTGTGCCAGTTTCCTGGATCCTGTCCTCAGCAACACACGCACATGTACACACACACATGTACACACACACACACATGCACGATCAGGGTTGGGTTCCATGTATGGTTTAGGAAAAATATGATTCAGAGCAGTATTGAGTGTACTGTGCAGTATTAAGTGTACTGTACGGATGCAGGCAACAATTCAAAATATAGAATTAGCCATGCAAAACTATTCTCATTAATTTTCTTTTTTTTAAGATTTTATTTATTTATTATGTATAGAATCCATGTATGCCTGCAGGCCAGAGGGCGCCAGATCTTATTACAGATGGTTGTGAGCCACCATGTGGTTGCTGGGAATTGAACTCAGGTCCTCTGGAAGAACAGTCAGTGCTCTTAACCGCTGAGCCATCTCTCCAGCCCCTCTCATTAATTTTTTATTTTAATGCTATTTTATTAATATCTCATCTATTTGTGTGGGGTCTGTGAGTGTGCCACATGGTCAGACAACAACTTTCACTTTCCTGAGTCATTTCTCTCCTGCCAACAAATAGGTCCCAGAACTGGAACGCAGGCCATCAGGGTTGGTGGCAGGCACCTTCATCCGTTGAGCCATTTCTCCAGTCCCTTATTTCTCTCTCTGTGTTTCTCTCTTGCAATGCTGGAGGAATTTTAGGCTTTAAATATGCTAGGCAAGGCTATTCCGCTGAGCTACACAAAGTGGCCCAATTTCCTCAACAGTAAACTGCAAAAGCTAAGTTGGCAAGCACCTGTATTCTCTGAACATGGGGAGGAAGGCAAGGTCATCCTTGGCTATATAGGTAGTTTGAAGCTACCCTGGGCTACAAGAGACACCATTGTCTCAGAAAACCAAATTAAACAAAGTCACATCAAAAAAAAAAAGTCTCATCAAAGAGAAAGAGAGTGAGATCTCTCTGCTGAGAAAGGGCTTGCCTTGTAGCAGCCTGAGTTTCATTCCTGGAACCGCACAAAGGAAGAAGAGAACCAACCGGTGCCACAGAGTTGTCCCCTGACATCCACACATGTGCGGTGACATTCATGTACCCACACGGACACATCATACAGGCACACTAATAATAAATACTTTTTAAATGAAGCAATAGGGGGCAGGGAAGAAACTGCAGCTGAAAATTCAATCATGCATTCCTTAAAAGGAATTTCAAGCAGGTTGGGCACAGTGGCAACTGCCTGTAATCTCAGTACTTGGAAAGGGGAGGTAAGAGTACTAAACATTACATTCCGGTCCAACCTCAGCTGCTTCGCAGGTTTGAGGCCAGTCTGGCTACACGAAACCCTGTTGCAAAGCAAAACAAAACAAAACAGCAACAACAACAACAAAAGCAAAAACATCTGATATATAAGCTGACCTCACTTTGCTGAACTTGTTTGAATCCTGACTGAGACACTGGACCCTACACAACATTTGAGGGCAAAGGGAAATTGAACACTGATCTCATTGTATGATGCTATTTAGGGGTGGCTGTTCGTCCGTTCTTGCCTTGCCAGGAGGAGAAGCTTAAGGTACAGGGGCAAAAGTTTTGAGCAGAGCAGAATTTAGAGAGAGGCTGTAAAGCAGGGACACTGGACCGAGACAGGCAAGGGCTATAAGATCTGGCAGAGCAGATAAGCGAAGCTGTAGGGGCCTCCTGCCTATGTGCCATTTCTATCAAGATTCAAAGACAAAAGCCCTGGGACTGGAGAGGTGGCACGGTGGTTAAGAGCACTCAGTATAATATTTTCCACTTCTATCCGTTTATTAGAAAATTTCACCTTTTGAAGATGGGTTCCTTTTTATGGATATGTGTTATGACTGTGCGAATGTGTGTGTGTGTGTGTGTATGTGTGTGTGTGTGATTTTTTTGAGACAATGTCTCACTGTGGAGTTCTGACTGGTTTGGAACTTGCTGTGTAGAACAAGTTGGCCTCAGTTTGCAGAAATGCTCTTGCCTCCATCTCCTAAGTGCTGGGCTATGGTGTGAACCACCATGTCTGTCCTGGAAACATGTCTCATCCAGTTTCTAGCTCCTGCGCCCTTAATGCATATTGTAGAAACATGAAAAACCTTATTCTATCTCATCTGTGGGTTTTATGTATAAACAAACAGGGTTTCATTTAGCCCAAACTTGCTATGTAACGTAGGATGACTTTGAACTCCTGATCTTCCTGTGACCTGAATGCCCAGATGAGAAGCATGTGCCGCCGCCATCCCTAGTTTATGCGAGCAGTGAAACCCAGGGCTTTGTGCCTGTAATGATATCAGTTGAGTTGCATCCTCAGCAAAGATCGGTTTTACTAACTATTCAATTTGCAATTATTAAATTCATCCTCAATAGCATTTTGAATGTGCTATACACATACATACATACAATAACATACGCTCTATCAACAAGGCACCCCAACAGTGCCCGTCCTGGAAGTAGGGAGAGGGGTTGGGGTGGAGCCCCAAGCCCCCAAATACTCACATTCATGTATTACTGCACAGTTGTCAAGGCAACTGATTCAGCTGCAATAGGAAGGGGAGAACTGGAAGGCAATGGAACCTGGCCTTGGGGACTAAAAAATGTGAGGGATACATTCCTTCCTGTGTTGTCTGTTGAGAACATGGTTGGATGTGGCGCTGACATTCTGAGAACTGGGTTTCAGAAAGTCATGAACCCACACACTGCAGGCAGATCTATCACTCCAGACTCCTTGCCCACCTACCTGCCCGGAGCGCTGGTCAAAAGCCTCATACTCGCGGCGTCTCTTGCACCACCATGCGGTTATCCCAGGCATCGCAGGCTTCTGTACTTCAAAGCCCCACAGCCGCGAAGAATCGGAGACAGCAAGTGTAGGAGAACAGGGCTCCCATGCCAGTATTTAATTCTTGCCTAAAAGGTGCTTAAACACGGTGGCCTTCCCCGGCTGGAGCACTCGGCTTCAGCACCGAATTCCCTTAGTCTTTTGGGTACCCTGACTCAGGTAAAATCCTACCCAGGACTCAGGAAGAGGAGCCAATAGGAAGCAGAAATTGAGAAGCATTTGAAACACAGATTTTCTGCAGAGGGTTAAGAAAAAGAAGGCTCTGGGGCGGAAAGTCTAAGATTTGTGGTGTGGGTTTCCCCAAGAGTCCCCCCACTCTCTTTATTTTTTTTTTAAATATTTATTTATTTATTTATTATGTATACAATATTCTGTCTGTATGCCTGAGGGCCAGAAGAGGGCGCCAGACCTCTTTTACAGATGTTTGTGAGCCACCATGTGGTTGCTGGGAATTGAACTCAGGACCTTTGGAAGAGCAGGCAATGCTCTTAACCACTGAGCCATCTCTCCAGCCCCCCCCCCCACTCACTTTAAAATGGTGCTTTCTCCTAGGTTGGTGGGTTTGGAAGTTGCTGTCGTAGAAGGCTCGCTAGGACTTGGACAGGACATTACAGAGGTGCACAGGGCAGACTTACTGAAGGTAAAGCTCTTCATTCCACAGGTGCAGCAAGGTCAGGGGGCATTCCTGTAAGCAAAGCCAGCTGTGTCTTCTTAAATAAAGCTTTATTTTCATTTTATGAAACAGAATTTAGGCTGGCATGGTGGCAATGCCTTTAATCCCGGCACTCAATAGCTAGAGGCAGGGAGGCAGGTGGATTTCTTTGAGTTTGAGGCCACCCTAGTCTACATAGTGCATTCTAGGCCAGCTGGGGCTACATAGGGAGACCCCTGTCTCAAAACAAACAAAGACAAAACAAAAATTACAAACCAGAACCAAAGAATCAAAGGGGCTGGAGACATGGTTCAGTAGTTAAGAGCACTTCCTGCTATTCCAGAGGACTTGAGTTCAGGTCTCAGCACCCATGTCAGCTGGCTCAGAACTGTGGATAACTCCAGCTCCTGAGGAATCTGATGCCTCCACACTACTCTGAACACCACCCCATAACTAAAAAGATAAACTGTATCTTTAAAAAAAAAAAATACAAGATTGAAATTTTGGAGGCCGGAGAGAAGGTTAAGGCATAAGCTCACTTATTGCTCCTGTAGAGCACTCTCAGGGTTGTTCACAACTGTAGCTCAGGTATAGGAGCTCTGTGCTGGCCCACCTGGGCTCTTACATCTGTGTGGCATGTAAAACTCACGCAGGCACACACACACACATAAATAAATCTCCTTTAAAAGATCATAATTTTTATTTTCTTATGTTTAAATATAGATTATTTTATATGCACAGGTGTCTTGCCTGCATGTGGGTCTGTGCACCCTGTGCTTGCAGTACCCACTGAAGTCAGAAGAGGGCGTTCTACCTACTGAACTACAGCCTCAGCCCAGACTGCAGACTGCAACAGGACACTGTGAAGGGCTGAGCTAAAGAACAAAAAGTTAGATGCAGAGATTAATGTGTACACTGTAAACCATGTCTCTGCCTGCTCCTTAGCCAGCTGCCTTGGCTTAGAACCTTTAGAAATATCTATACATAAAAGCATTCTCTACTTTTGTTATTTTTTTTCTAGTTCATAACCTCTTTGGCTAACTCCAGTTAATGATATTAGTAGCAGACTTAAATGGCCAAAAAAAATAATAATAATATATGTGAGTTTAAGAAGACTGTGCTTGCAAACACTGTCTTCTCGGTGTACAGAAAGTTCTGACAGCAGCAAGCCTTTGGCACAGCAACTACTCACTAGCCCTGTGGAAAGAGACAGGGCCCCTGCAGGACTTGGTGCATAAAGTATCACAATTACTTCATTAATAGGCTTAGTAATATGCTCTAAAAGGATGACGAGTAAAGAAAGACACAACAACAATGCATTATTTCAAAATGTGTATTTAGGGTCATTCCATCAAAATGAAGCCGAATCACACTTTGAAATCATCAATGCAGCTACCTTTATTTTCTAAGGTGCATTTTCCTCTGGGCTTCATTTGGTCTCTGCCGCTTGAGGTGTTCTTACAAGCTTCATTTACACAGAGCACTGAGGCTGGGAGATGGGATCCTAACAAAACCATGTATCTTGGATACATCAGAAATTCTAAAAACCCTATGAATCTCAAAAAACTTAATACCAGTCATGGAAAAGCATTGTCAACATAAAACTTAGGCACTCTGCACTTTGGAATAGCCACAAAAATATTACAGTAAGAATTAACGCTTCTGTGATTACATCTACTCAAAGGGAATCTCAGTTAAAATCCTCACTAATTAAATAACATTTTACATTAGGGCCCATGGAATCCTGTTGATTACTGAACAATGTGTAGCACTGGGTTATGGCTAAATGATGCTGAACTAGGCCATTGCTGACCTTGGGCTCGTCCATCAGGTGCTCTCCTTCGTTTTCACTGGAAGATTCTGCAGAACTCAGTGACAAGCACCCCCCCCCCTCCAGTCCATTTCACTCTCCTAGCTGGGCTTCGGCTACAGTTGCTTTCTGAGCTGCAGAGCTTCAGCCAATGGGAGGAGGAGACTGGGAAACTCAAGCTGAGCACACGGACCCCAGGTCATTTGTTCAGTTACTTTATGTTCAAGTGCAGCACAGAGCTGGGGCAAGCTGAGCGACTGTGCTACTGGTGTGGAGGTAAGGGACAGGCAAACCGAACTTGTCACTCACTTCGAACAAGGTCGAGGATACCCAGCTGGTGGTCTACAGCGGAGAGGTAGGGGTGACACCACCTGCTAAGATGCTCATCACTCTGAATAAGCTTTCCAGCCCTGTGAGCCAGTGTGGCTGCAGGAGATCAAGACACACTTGATAAGCAGTGTGCACTTGTGAAACTTGGATACAAAGCCTTTCCAATGCTGGATGGATTACAGGATCTGTGGAGGCTCCTCAGGATCAGTGGCTAACAATCCAGATCTAGCTAGAGACGGGGAGTTGACTACAGTCACAGGGAAGAGACTGCAGCAATTCCCAGGGCAGGGCATGAACAGTTCGTTGTGAGGAAGTTAATTACACTGCTAATGTTTTCTGCCTTATTTGAAGAGACAAATTAGCATAAGTAAATCACGAGTTAAGACGACAAGCAAAACCTTTGTTTCCACTCATTAGAGGAAACCGCAGGAGCTGCAGTTAAGCCGCAGTGGGAATGCGGGATGTGGGTAGGAAGCAGAGGCGGCAGCTCCTGTTTCTGCAAACAGAATCAGAGCCACTGACGATGCTGGGTTTTAGCTGAGGCAACTTTCATCCCAACCGGAAGCCACAGAGCCTGTTGTGTTCTCGTCTGTGTGTCAGGATCAGGATCAGGACAAGCGCTCAGGGCAGCACAGTCAAGGCCACAGTCCCGCTCTGCTGCTTTAGAATGGCCACAGCTTGCTCATGAGTAACACCTTCCAGGGTCTCCCCATTGACAGCCAAGATCTGGTCACCTCGTTTTAATCGGCCGTCCTCTGCAGCTGCTCCCTATGAACAAGAAACATGACAAAATTACTAGAAATACTGCATGAACTTACTTTCAGTTATATATAAAATATAGAGTATATATGAAGCTCTAGTAAATTTCCTTCCATATATGCAAATATTCTTTTTGGGGGTGGGTTCAAGACAGGGCTTCTCTGTGTAACAGCTCTAGCTTTCCAGGAACTAGCTCTTATAGACCAGGCTGGCCTTTAACTCACTCACCTGCCTCTGCCTCCCGAGTGCTAGGATTAAAGGCATGTGTCACCACTGCCCGGTTGCAAATATTCTATAATCTGAATAAAACATCCCAAATCCAAAATAGTGCTGTTCTGAAGACTTCAAATAAGGCATGTTCAGTCTATTCTCATGATGTTCAAACTCATGTCGCTGACTGCCAGGGCTTCCACAAATACTGCCACGAAACTTTCTGAGTTGGCTTGTATCATCATCTTTACCTCCCTCCCTCTCTCTCCCTTCCTTTCTTTCTCTCTTCCTTCCCATCTTTTTTTCTTTCTTCCTTCCTTTCCTTCCTTTCCTTTTTCCCTCTCTTCCTCTCTTCAATTTCTTTCTTTCCTTCCATTCTTCTCTTCTCTTCTCTTCTCTTCTCTTCTCTTCTCTTCTCTTCTCTTCTCTTCTCTTCTCTTCTCCTCTTCTTCTCTCTCTCCTCTCTCTCTCCTCTCTCTCTCTCTCTCCTCTCTCTCTCTCTCTCTCNCTCTCTCTCTCTCTCTCTCTCTCTCTCTCTCTCTCTCTCTCTCTCTCTCTCTCTCTCTCTCTCCAGGGTCTCACCATGTAACTCTGCAGTCTAGAACTTACTATGTTGCCCAGGCTGGCCCCAGAGTCACAGAGATCATCTGTCTCTACCTTATGAAAAGGCCTATTTCTTGTTGGCTGAGAGGATTTAGACCCCAGGTGGCTCTGACTTTAAAGTTTCTTTTTAAGACTTATTTTAAAAACTATGAGTCTGTGTGTGCAGGTGTGTGCACATGAATGCAGGTGTCTGAAGGAGGCCAGAGGCCAGAGTCATCAGATTCTCCTGCAGCTGCAGCTCCAGGCAGTCATGAGCTGCTGATGGGGACATGGGTGCTGGGAGCCGAACTCCGCAAGATGAGCCCACACTCTTAACTCTTAAGCCATCTTTCCAGCTCATGAATTTGAAGTTTTCAACCAAACATGAACCTGACTGGAAGCACTCTAAGCGTCTGTGAGTCAGACTGACTCTCTCAATTTCTACATGCTTCCAGCTCCTATAATGTAGACATGTCACACTTCTGGAGTGTCAAGAGTCACTTCGGGCTACATTAAATAATCTATCAGTCAAGGAAGAGAATTATTAAAAAGAAGTTTTGATCTATAAACCTATGCCCCATGTTTCAGAGCTTCAGAAGCCTGAGAAGGGAGACAGTCTGAGGGGAGTGTCCTATGAGAAGGCATGAGTGAACAAAAGCTAAATTCATAAATAGCAGGTGGAAGAAACACTTGGGATGTTTATCCTAAGTACTTTTCATGGGTCTTCAGAATTTACAATAAAGTTAAATGCCAATCTACAACTCACAGTGAAATTAAAATTGACTATTCTAGAAGCCACATAGAAGCCGCAGGAGTGGTGGACACTGATCACCTAGGACATGCTGGGAGTAGCGTGGGGCTGTTGTTGTTTGCTGTTTTGTTTTCTTTATTTAAGACAGGTTCTAAAGCATAGCCCAGGCTACCTTGAGTGTACAGTGATGCTCCTATACCAGCCTCCAGAGAGCTGGGATGGCAGGCCTGTGCCTATACCTCTTTTGGAAATAGTTAATTCCCGAATCACTATGAGTCAGTATTAGACTGATTTATCAAACACCTGGCAGAGAAACGTAAGCTGACAATCTCCAAGTGACCTGAGAGCTTCTACCTTGGCCCTCTGCTGCCTGACATGTGTGTGTGTGTGTGTGTGTGTGTGTGTGTGTGTGCATGCCTTTGCATGTCTTCTGTGGATGCTAGAGGCTAGTGTTTGGCATCTTCCTCTATCATTATCTTTAATTATTTCCACTTTTATTTTTGGAGATGGTGTCTCTTACACCTGGAGCTCACCGATTCAGCTACCCCGTCTCTGGCCTGCAGTGCTACCTCCTGTGGGTGTTGGCCATCTCAGCTCAGGTCTTCCTGCTTACAAAGCAGGTCCTTTATTCACTAACTCAGCTCCATGGCCCATGATATTCTTTCCCCACTCCCTCCCTGGCTGTCCTGGAACTTGATCTGTAGACCAGGTTAACATTGAACTCACAGAGATCCACTTGTCTCTGCCTCCTGAATGTGAGTGTTGTGATCAAAGGTGTGCACCACCAACACCAAGACCCTGATTTTGAATCCCTTTCAGCCTAGAATAGCACATTCAAAGTCACTCTCCAGTGGGGGTGCTGCTGAAAATGCTCCTACAATCTGTGAGTGCCAGCTTCCTCACTGAAGTACAGAGAGGACTGCTTCTTGAGAGCCCATTGTTGTGACACTTTCTCCCCTGGTAGGGCTTTCCTATGAGACCTAAATGAAATACCACCATCTCCCACACAAGCACAACCCACAGCAAACCAGTACAAAGCACTTACAAGTCTCACTAGCTTTGATTTTAAGAGAACAGTAAAAGGAGAAAAATACCTTTGGAAATATAGTCTTGACATAAATTGGCAGGTCTCCGTGTGGACTTCCATAACCCCCTACAATACTAAGCCCCAATCCTGCAGAGCCTTTCTCCAAAGTAATAATCTTAGGTGCAGGTGTTCTGAAAGCACAACACATGCTGTTTAATTCAAGAGCAGACACTGAGAGGGAGTTCATTTTAATGGAAGCGCACAGATTGGAGAGGGACTTCCACACTGCAAAGCTACGAATGCCATTTTATCAAATCAAACTCTCAGGAAGCAATCTGGAAACATTGTACATTTTTCATGCTACATCACTTCATCACCAATGTGCTTGTGGTTTAGGGCTTTCTGATTAAAACAGTCACTACAGCGGTGACACACCTTTCCCTATGCTTGGTTCCCTTCTCCTCCTTTTTTATGTGGGCTGAGTTGGCCTTGAACATCTCAGCCTCTTGCCTTTGCCCTCTAAGTTCCGAGATTCTGGGCATCAGCTATTATATCCATCTTTGCACTTAGTTATTGTTAAGTCACTTGCTTTGTTTTATTCAGATGGGATCTTGTTGCATAGCCTAGGCTTGTGTGTGGTACTGGGGATAATACCAATGGCCTTATGCCTGCTGGTCCTAGGAGCTGTATGTACCACTGGGCTACATTCCTAGCCCATTTTTATTTTATTTTTGAGACAGGGTTATGCTAAGTTAAGAAAGGTCAACATGCAGCTCAGACTGGCCTTGAGATCATGATGCTCCTGCCTCAGCCTCTTGAGCAGCTCAAATTCTAGGCATGTAAAACAAGGCTTGGCTCAATTCTTTTTTGGGGGGGGTGGGTGGTTCAAGACAGGGTTTCTCTGTGTAACTATTCTAACTGTCCTGGAACTTGTTCTGTAGGCCAGGCTGTCCTTGAACTCACAGATATCCATCTGCCTCTGCCTCCCAAGTGCTGGGATTAAAGCCATGTGCTACCACCACCCGGCTGTTTGGCCTAATTTTTAATGTGTTATATATAATATATAATATATATATATACTTTAATGTGCTTGTGTACATGTGCATGCCAAAGTCAGAGGACAACTTTTAGGGCTCACTTCTGTATTCTACCAGGTGGGTTCTGGGGACTGAACTCAGGATGCTAGTATTGACCCATTGAATCATCTCACCTAGTCCCCTCCTCCCGTCTTTAAGTGTGCTTTGAACTGTAGTTCAGGTTAATCTGGAACTCACTCTGTAGCCCAGACTAGCCTTGCCCTCACAGTAATCAATATTCCTTCCTCAGCCTCCTGAGTGCTGGGATCACAGGACTTTTCTTAGTTGAATTGAAAACCACCCTGATTTAAAATCTGTCCTATCTGTTTAAAGAAGGTGTTGTGTGGACCGCACAGTCAGCAATACACAGGTCATGCCAGCATGAGCATGTTGGAAGCCTGCAGTCCCCAGGTGAGCCCCTAACCAGCAGTGGCAAGCTAACAACTCTTGGGAACCAATGCCCCTTTCCTATCCAAATGCCCCTAGCACTCCTCCTAGCATGGGAAGACCCTTTTCCAAGCCCATCTCGAGTAGGGGGTTCTCCTGTGCCCTTCAGGAGAACTGGCCCAGTCTTTCTGTCCTTGGTCCCTATTCCACACTATTGTAATTAGCACATCTTTTCCTCTCCCCGGCTACCTGTCCCTTCTATGTTAGCTATCCATGTGTTCTCTACAAACTCACGCTCATGGCTGTATAAACAGGATCACCCATGTGGAGCAAGATGGGTTTGACACTCTGTTCCAAATGCGTGACAGAGGCTGTCGTCAGTGTGGAAGTCTCTCTCTCAGGCAGCACTACAAAGGTTTAGATCGCCTATGTGTGTTCAAGCTCTCTAATCTCCACTTACCCAAGGAGGCCAGCTTCTTCTCCCTAAAACTAGTTTTCTTTTGATACAGGGTCTCATGTAGCCAGTGCTGGCCTTGAGCTGGCTACGTAGCCAAGGGTGACTCTTTTGTTTCCACCTCCCAACGGCTGGGATTAGAGGCTTGGAACACTAGGCTTGGTTTTACGTGGTGCTGGGGATCAAACCAAAAGCTTTATGCATGCTAGGCAAGTGCCATACCAACTGAGCTACATCTCAGCCCTTCTTCCTACACTGTTATTTAAAGGGTAAAACCCCCCAAAATTCTAGGGTCCCCATCTCTATCATCTGATTTGTGGTGACAGGGTCTTTTTCTTTTCCGTTTGAGACAGAGCTGTGCCACACAGCCCTGGCTGGCCTTGAACTCACAGTTATCCTGCTGTTTCTGCTTCTCAGGTGCTGGGATGTACACCACCATTCCTACCCGGCTCAAGGAGGTACACACTCCGTGCTGGCAGCATGCATGGCTGAGAGGCAGTCGCCTGTTCCAAACTTAGCCACTCACAGCTCAGAAAACCGTGAAGAGGTATGTGACCTTTGATTATGCTCTTCTGATTAAACCTTCCCTGACACTTTGCCTAACAAATTGAGGTGCTCAGGTTATTGTGTTACAGCTAGTCTCAGGGACCTGCATACGTGGGCCCATTTGCAATCTGGAGCATGTGTCATGGATCACGTCAGTTTATCTCATAACACCTTAATATTTCTTCTTTGAAAATTATTTGTATTGTTTATAATTATGTAATTATGTAATTTTATAATTATGTAATGTTTATAATTATGTAATGTGGTGTGTGTGTATCCATGTGAATGCAGGTGCCTGTGGAGTCCAGAAGAGGGTGTTGGATTCTCTAGAGTTGGAGTTACAGGTGGCTGCAAACTGCCTGACATGGCTCTTGGGAACTGAACTCAGGTCCTCTTGAAAAATAGTATGTGCTTTTAATCTCTGAGCTACATTCTTAACTGTCTTAACATTTCTTCCCCCCTCTCGATTTTTTTTTTTAAATTTTATTTTTCGTTTTTCAAGAGGGTTTCTCTGTAGCTTTGGAGCCTGTCCTGGAACTAGCTTTTGTAGACCAGGCTGTCCTTGAACTCACAGAGACCCGACTGCCTCTGCCTCCCAAGTGCTGAGATTAAAGGTGTGTGCCGCCACCACCTGGCATGCCTTTCTTTCTTAAAGCTATGCTCTCTCTCTTTCTCTCCCTCTCTCTCATATGTAGCTCTCTCTGGCTGTCCTGGTACTCATTATGTAGACCAGGCTGGCCTTGAACTCACAGAGTGATTGTGAGTGTGGGTTACCACGTTCAGTTTTGTGTGGTACTGAGAACTTAACCCATGGCATTGTAAATGCTAGCTAGGCACCCTACATACGGAGAGCTACAGCCCTCATTTCTCCACCCTGACTTTGTTTTAAAGAGCTGTCGTAGCCTGAAATGCTATTTTCGTATTTTGTCAGATTTAATGGCATGTATAATGAGGAAAAAGTATAACCAACTTAATATTCTTTCTTTAAGAGACACTCCCCAAAGTGTCAATTAGGTTGATAAACTATGACCCCCTGAATAAAGCTCCTTGTATTTGGCTGTGATCATGAGATCCTTAAAGGAATTATCAACTAATAGCATTCACCGAGCACACACTTGACCAGGTGCTGATGGTGCCGAGGAACAGCTTCAGGCAGCAGTGCTCAAAGTGCAGCTGTTCTCCGCCTGTCTGGTCGGATAACCCTAGGGAGCCTGCTAAGACCAGACGCCCACATCTGCTGGGAACCATGTCCTCAGAGTCTCCACAAATCGTGTGGAGGCAGGCGCCTACATAGGCAGGTGGAGTTCAGGGGAGATTTGGTTCTCACAAGCTTTGGACCCGGGGACTGAACTCCATCATCAGACTTGGTGGCAAGTGCCTTTATCTGAAGAGCCATCTCACTGGCCTTCTGTTCTTATTCTTAGAGCATTTCAGCTATAGAAACACTGCTTTAATGAATAACCTTGCAATGACCAGCTGTCACGACACGTGCCAGCCAAGCGGACAACAATATTTCACCTCAGAGCAAGGTTTTAGCTTAGCGAGTTAATGAAATGTGGCTCCTTGCATCTTAGAGCAGAGCAGACCTGGGATATAAGCCTGTAGTTTCTTAGGACAGAGGGCACAGGCTTCTGTCAAAGCAAAGAGAAGCGGCTTGAGCGCAGGCCCTGCCATGGTCTCTGAAGGATCCTTGTGTGAAACGGAGAGCCCTGCACCTTGTCAGACCTCGTCTAGGTCAGGAGAACACAGCATGCACGTTCCTCTGTCTTGAGATCACATGCACGCTAGAACCTGACGCTCAGGAGCCTGGCCCACTCTGCACTAGAATACTTACTCCGTGTCTTCTGGATGGCGGTCAGTAGTCGGAGATCCTGCAGACATGATTTCAAGTTGAGTCGCTATGGCACTTATATTGGTATCTGCCACAACCTGGGGGAGAGGGATGACAAGGAATTTTACTGTAAATTACAAGAATGTTGGACAAAGTATAGTTGCATTCCAATCCTCATTCGACTTAGACACGGAGCTGGACAGAAGAGACCATTCATTTTCTCTTTCCCTCACTCCCCTTTCTCCTCCTCTTTCCCCATGGTTCTCCCTTTCTCTCCTCCATGTCCCAACAGAGAGGAATTCTCAGCCTTCCTGCTGCACCTCCACAGGGCTGGGATTTCAGTGTGCACCTTCCTGTTGGGCTGGAGGATTCGAGTGCCTCTCTAGTCCTTTTCTGACTCCCCGTGAGCACTGCCTCCCCAAACCATTCTTTATTCTTTTGTGGACTGGGACAGAACCCAAGCCTCCTGGTGAGTACGTGTCCCCAGGCACTCCTTTTAAAAACTTCAATAGACCGAAATAGGCAGGGTCTTCCTAAACTGCACAGGCTGTCTGTGGTCGGTCCTTCCTCAGTCCCCCAACAGTGGCTAGTGCCACTAAGCCCAGCTCCAGTTTCTACACTTTCCCCTTTCTGACCATGCCTTCCTCTTTCCCAGACATTTTTTTTTTTTCCAAGACAGGGTTTCTCTGTAGCTTTGGAGCCTGTTCTGGAACTTGCTCTTGTAGACCAGGCTGGCCTTGAATTCACAGAGATTCACCTGCCTCTGTCTCTGGAGTGCTGGGATTAAAGGCATGCACCACCACCACCACCGGCCTCTTTCCCAGACTCCTGTGCAGCAAGACAGGATCAGCTCCTGAGTTCCTATCTTTTTTTTTTTTTTAAATATTTATTTATTTATTATGTATACAATATTCTGTCTCTGTGTATGCCTGCCGTCCAGAAGAGGGCACCAGACCTCATTACAGATGGTTGTGAGCCACCATGTGGTTGCTGGGAATTGAACTCAGGACCTCTGGAAGAGCAGGCAATGCTCTTAACCACTGAGCCATCTCCCTAGCCCCCCCTGAGTTCCTATCTTTTACAACTATAAAGCCTCATGCTAAATTTAAATACCACCTGGTGATGATAATCCGCAAATCTCTGTCTCCAGTTCTACCACACTTAAGTTCAAATCCACAAGATGGGTCCCACTGAGCTCCCCAGTGTGGCGTCCATGAGGAACCCATATCTCCAGTGCTCTGCCCCACAGCCTGGGTTCCTGCAGCTTTCTGTATCCCAGGTGACCATGACCTGTTCTCGTAGTTTCATGACCATCTTGGTATCATACTTGACTTCTCTGTCTCAAAGCCCAGTCCTCTTAGATGCTGAAGGCTGAGCCACAGAGTCATCTTGTGTGTGGTGCAGTCTCACTGGCTGCCCGACCTCACTCTTCTGAAGCAGCTAGAACTACATTAACATGGAGTATATGACTCCAGACTCTGCCCGAAGCCATCTGCAGAGAACCAGATGCTGTGGGGTCACGAGCTGAGTCCTTTCAATGACCTTCAAGGTGTCCTGCCCTGTGGTAGCTCTCCGTGGCCAGCATACTGACCTCACTGTCCCTCCTGCTGCCCCACCCCCACCCCAGAACAGAACCCAGGGATCTGGAGGGCTGTCTGCACAGGTGCTGAGAGTTTTCAGGCGAGAGAGAGAGAGAGAGAGAGAGAGAGAGAGAGAGAGAGAGAGAGAGAGAGAGAGAGAGAGAGAGCGAGCACGCGCGCGAGCTTGATTTGATGCAGTTTCAGGACAGACCAACAGAGGGCACACACGCCTCACTTGTGAGACAGCTGTACTGCCAGTAAAGCAGAGGAAAGGCGACAGGCCAGGGGAGGGCCGGGAACGCAGGGGAATTATCCCAGACAGGGGAAGACAGTTACAGGCCAGTGCTGCGAGTCCGAGCATACAGTCATGGGAAGAACGATGACTAAATGGGGAGATGCTTAGGATAAAAGTATACGGGGGAAAGGTCAGCTCCCTGCCGGACGGTACAAGCCTATCCTTTTCCAGTAGCAGGCTGTGCTGTCGTCAGAGGCAGCGTGGAGCCCCAGAGGACACTGCCGGTTCCTAAGGCAACCGTCTTCACAAACACTTCTGACCCACATGCTCCTGACTTTCCTGCCCTGCCAGGTCTGCTTTCTGATATCTTTCGGCTCACCTCCTGACTCCATCACGGGCCCAGGTGGCTTCAGGCTCAGACACAGCATGGCACACACATTCCCTGGCTTAAATCCCAACAGTGTCCTTACAACCCAGCTGCTGGGCTCTGCCCAGCCACCACCTTGAGATTTCCATTTGACATCTCTCAGCTTATCAAAATGAAAACAACCACAAATTTGGGTTGAGGATGTAGCTCAGTGGTAGAGCGCATGCCTAGCAAGTGTGGGGCCTTAGGCTCTTCTTAGAGTGGGTGCCAACACCAACCAGGTGACTCCACCCTACTTCCTCTCCAAACTCTTGACCCCCAAACCCACCCCTGTTCAGTTAACTTTTCCTTCCATTTTTCTCTTCTTAGAAAGGGACATCTCCAGCTCTCCTGTTATGAACCAATGAGGCACACACTGAAAACTTGCCATGGCTGCTGCCTGTGTATCTGAGACACACGCTGAGGTGCTATCCATGAAGGGGCCCAGACTGCCTCCCTTGGTCCCTCCTGCCATTAAATGGGTGGCTATCCACCAGAATTCCAACCCTTCTTCAATCTGTTCACTGCTCACTTGTCTTTTAATCTCTATTACACTCCCCAGGTAACATCCCAGATATTCAGTGGTACTCCACTGCTTCAGACCTTCCAGCACTTTCCCTCTGCTCTTAGGATACAATTCTAAGCCCCTCCCTCACCTTCTAATCCCATTTCTCGCCTATACTCCTCTAAATCTTCTAGAGTTTTCTCTCTAGGAATCTCTACACAAATCAGTTTAAATAGCAGAAGTCCTGCTCCTCCTGTGACCTCCTCTAGTCACCGCCCCCCCCCCCATTTAGGTTACTTCTTCCTGCTTTTCTTCTGTGTTTTCAATCTGTTTCTCAGGAACTGGGATAGTGCAAGTGGCCATGGTGTGGGTCAGTGTGAGTGGCTGTGGGTTAGGACAGTGCATGTGTGGCTGTGCACTGTTTAGTGCGTGTGGCCATGGGTTGGTCAGTGCGTGCGGCTGTGGGTTGCGACAGTGTGAGTGGCCGTGGGTTGTTCAGTGTGTGTGGCCGTGGGTTGGGACAGTGTGAGTGGCCATGGGTTAGGACAGTGCGTGTGTGGCCGTGGGTTGTTGAGTGCGTGTGGCCGTGGGTTAGGACAGTGCGTGTGTGGCTGTGCACTGTTTAGTGCGTGTGGCCATGGGTTGTTCAGTGCGTGCGGCTGTGGGTTGCGACAGTGTGAGTGGCCGTGGGTTGTTCAGTGTGTGTGGCCGTGGGTTGGGACAGTGTGAGTGGCCGTGGGTTGGGACAGTGCGTGTGTGGCCGTGGGTTGGGACAGTGCGTGTGGCCGTGGGTTGCCTCCCATCTTATCTCTGGCTCCATGAACAGCAGGTTGGTGCCCAGCATCTTAACTCCGCTGAGGAAGAACATGAGAGAACGAGCATGTCTGATGCCTTCTCAAGGGGCAGGGAGACTGAGGAAGTAAGAGGAGAGAGGTTTCCAGTCCCTTAAGGAGAGAGAAAAAGTAACAAGTAGGCAGGCCCTGTTCCACAGAAATGGAGTAATGACAGAGGGCTTAAAGGAGGCCCAGGCACTGAGCTGGCTAACAAGATTTTGAGTTTTGCTTTTTTTAAAAAAATGACATTTTTAATTCAATGAGTATTGATGTTTTGCCTGCATGTGTGTCTGTGTAAGGGCATTGGGTCCGCTGGAACTGGAGTTACAGGGAGTTATGAGTTGCCATGTGGATGTTGGGCGTTGAACCGTGGTCCTCTGGAAGAGCAGCCACTGCTATTACTAACTGCTGAGCCGTCTCTCCAGCACCCACTTTTCTTTATGTTTGTTTATTTTTTTTTTTGTGTGTGTGTTAGGTTAAGAAAGAACCTGCACGTGCCATCATGCATGGGTAGAGGTCGGAGGACAACCTGTGGGAGCCAGCTCTCTTTTCTCCACGTGGATTCCCAGGTCTGAACTCAGGCTGTTAGATCTGGAAGCAAGTGCCTGCACCTGCTGACCCATCTCACCAGCCCTCCACTATGTTTACGATTCCATCTTGTTTCTTTTCCCTTCTTGTGAGTTCTGAGTCTTTCTTACTTAAGTGACTCTGGACCTCAGGAACAACAGGCTTGACTGTTGGCACCAACATAGCTCTGCATGGTCAATCCTGAGAAGAGAGCCCAAGAAAATGACCAACCAGAGGACGTCCAGACCAAGACAATCTGGTGTCCTCCCGCGGGAACTCCAAGGCCCCCGGGGGCTCCTCTTTCTCTTCTGTGACCAGGACTGCTGTGGGCAGCTGGGGTTAGGTCCCAGTGTGGCCACCCTGCCTGTTTAGTGGTCCTTTCCTGGCCTTGCCACGCTCTCGTCCCATCAGTTTCTGATTTGGCAGGGAGAGGAGGTAAGGCAGGGTCTCCTATGTAGTCTAGGTTTGCCTGGAACTCATAATCCTCCTGCCTCAGCCTCCTGAGTGCTGGAGTATAGACTGGGTGTGAGCCACTAGGCTCAGGCTTTGTGGGGAAAGTAGCTGAGCCTAGTCTATCGGGGCTCCCGTTCCTGACTCTGCTAGAACTGAACGCTTATGGAACAGAATGGCATATTCAGAACAAGGGCTCTCATGAGAACAGCATCTAAAAAAGCTCAGACTGGTCACCGCAGGAAGTGTGGATGGCACTGTCGTGTGTCTGTCGGACGGAGCCAGGCTAGAAAGCCTTGAGAACATTGCCGGTTTCTTCCTTGTTTTCTTATTTTCTTTTTTGAAACAGGGTCTTACTATGTTGCCCTGGCTAGCGTAGAATTAACTACACAGACCCGGATGGCCTTGAATGCACAGAGACCAACCTGCCTCTGCCTCCCACAAGCTGACGTCACAGGCATGCACTACCATTTACCCCTCCCCCCTTCTCTTTTGAGACTTTGCAGCCCAAGCTAACCTGAA